AATAATTATATAATAAACGCAATTGTTCTACTAAAGAAATAAAATGAAAATAAAGAAAGTAATGGAAAAAAGATCTCGAAACTTACATATGGAGAAGTAAGCGCGAAAATATAGGTCCGAAAAGTCGCTGAAGCAGGAATCGAACCCGCGTCTTTCACTTTCCGGGCGACTGCTCTTACGATGCTTTTAAGACGCAGTTCCAATTAATTTTCGTGCTTTGGCTCTGTTGGTCGATTAAAAAAAAAAAAAACATTTATATTCATAATATTGAGAGCCGATAAAAATATTTCTTTCTGGTTAAAACTATAAGTTTTATTAGAAAATTTAAAAAATTATTAAAATTAAAATATAATTAGAAATTTTAAAAATTATTAGAAAAGATTTCTCGTACGCCTCGCGTCATCTTGTCGCTAAGAGATAGCTCTTTCTCTCTCTTTACGCTCTCCTTCACACTTTCTCGCGTGTGCCTCATATCTCTTTCTCGTTCTTCACATTCTTTATCTTTCTTGCGTGCGTTCTTTCGCTGCGCTCTCTTCGCGGACGCTTCCCCGTCACAGATTAATAGACAGATCGCCAAAGGTCTGTCTAAAGAGGAGACCGTCATTTTTGCCCCTTACCGACACACTTTGCCCCTGGTTTGAGTCCAGGCTAATAAAATTCTTTAATTTTACAAAAAAACTTTGCCTCTAGTGCGAGTTCAGGCTAAAATCCTTTGATTATACGTGTAAAATAAAAAGATTTTAGCCTGAACTCGCATCAAAGGCAAAGTTTTTTTGGTAAAATCAAAGGATTTTATTAGCCTGGACTCAAACCAGGGGCAAAGTGTGTCGGTAAATAACAAAAATGACGGTCTTCTCTTTAGACAGGCCTTTGACGATCTGTCTATTAATCTGTGTCCCCGTGGATCCCTCTCCTAGTGGACCCTAGCGTAGACCCCTCGCACGCGGACTTCTCGTGATCCCTAGTGCAGACCCTAGCGCGGACCTCTTCCAGCGAACCACTCGCTGACGGACTCTTCGCCCGTGGACTTTTCGCGGGCCCTAGCGCGGACCTCCCTTCCAGCAGACCCTCGCTGGCAGCTCCTCGCCCCACGTCATTTCCTGCGCCCCAGGTCCCTCTCCCCACGTGACGTCATTTCTTCTCCCCACGTGACATCATTTTCCCGCGCCACACGTCTCCTCCCCCTCCCCCCCGGAATTCCTGCATTAGAATCCGCCTTATATCACTACTACAGACCTATAAGAGATGCGCCCACTCTGAATCGTTTTTGATTAGCTCCCAAAATCACGTGGTTTTTCCGCCATCTTCTAACCATTGCAAGCGTGCGTGGACACCTTAGAACATATAGATATGGAAGGGGAATAGGAGCGCAAAACTGTGTCCAAGTTGGGTGCGAGAGAGAACCACGTTTTTAAGAAAAGAGAAGGGTAGATTGTTACCTCCGTTCGCAATGCGCAAACGCGAATTAGTGAAAGCACCAATTACATTTCCAGTTTCAAACGGCGCGGTGAGCGTGACGTCACCGTGACGTCATCTACGTTTGCACATTGCGAACATAGGTTAAAAGCTATCTTTCTCTCTCGCACCCAACTTGGACACAGATTTTTACCATGGAGAACAATAGCAATTCCCCTTCCAGGTATATATGTTCTAAGGTGGACACAAATATCACTTGGTGCAAAGTACGATCGTGGTGCAAGCTGCAAGTTGACGTTGTGGAAAGATAAGTTTAACCTTGAGGAAATTAATTTTCGAGCACAGTATTAATATTTTAATGATAGATTTTTTCATATTCATTTATATGAGGATAAATATTCTTCTTTTAAACAATATTACCATAATGAATTCTGTGGAGAGTTAGATTAATTGACTACATAATGTACTAATTTAGTATGTTTTTTGCATCGCAAACATTTTGCAATAATAGCAATGATTTTTTTCTTACAATATGCTCCATTGCTCCACTACTCTGGCTCTGCTACTCCGTTTGTTGTCTTCTGCTTCATGGTTACAAGATGGCGGCTGCCAGGAAGGAGTGGGGAGAGGTTGGTGCATCTCTTATTATAAGTCTTTAATCACTATTTGGCTTTAAAAAAATTAAATTCTTTCTTCTCTGTTTGAACAATATTATTACTATTGAAATTTACAATATATTTATCTCCCGTCAATCAACTGCTTCCTATTAGACTGATTATAAAGAAGAAAAAAGTTTTCGGAATATTTTACAAGTGTGCCAAAGAGATTTGTAGTGCTATTTCATCGAAATATCTTTTTATTTAGAAATGGCATCTAAGAATCACATATACATCTTGTATATAATAACTAAAATTTTTAATTTACATTTTATCGAGTTAGAAATAATTTTTATGAATTAATAAGACTTTTGCGATTAAAACGACACCAAACACGGCATTAATCGGATAATTCTTATAGATTATATATGTATAATCTAATTAAGAATTATCCGATTATGCCATGTTTGGTGTCGTTTTAATTGCAAAAGTCTCATTAATCCACTAAAATTATTTTCAACTCGATTAAATGTAAATTAAAAGTTTTACTTTTTACATAAAAGATATTTATATTCGTGAATTATTGTAGAAACAAAGAAAGATTCCCGAGACGTCGAAGCGAGAGCGAGAACGAGTAAAGAGCGAACAAGAAGACATGTATCATCAAAGAGTTCCGAAGTCTCTCTCGCGAGGTTCCATTTAAATATAACCTTTTGTATTATATATGTCACGTTACAATAGAAAATAAAATTTTTGTATTTTGCAATTTATCAAGTTGAAAATAATTTTAATGAATTAATTAGACGTTTGCGATTAAAACAACACCAAACACGGTATAAATCGGATAATTTTTAATTAGACAGGTAATTAAAAGTCAAATCGGGTTCAATTCTTGTCACTCACACTGTTTTTTTTTTATTTATGCGAATTAGAATATTTATTTATATAAAACAAAATTAATTTAACAATTTTGTTTTTTTTTTTTGCACTTGTAAAGGCAATTTTTTTATATTGATACACAACTGGACATTTTTTATTTTACATAATCTTATTTTATACATTATTTTATACCTAATATAAAATAAAGCAAATAAAACGCTATTGCAAAAGTTAAAAAAGTTAAAAATTTATAAAATTAATTTTGTTTTACATAACTAAATATTCTAATTTGCATAAATAAAAAACTGTGTCAGAAATTGCACCCGAATCAACAACGTAATAACCGCAGACTTTAATATGTATGTACTACGTACTTCTCGAAAATCAATCTAACCGAGTCGAATATAAAATTGCTATATTATTTAAATTAATTTTTCTTAAAAATAATTAATTGTAAGCTTTACGCTCTATCCCTTTACTGGCAAAACATTTCTATTCTATCTCAAATATTTAGTAAGTCATCTCTATATATAATGACTTTTGGGCTGGAAAATAAATAATAAAATATTTTAATAAAAAGCAAATTATAAAAATATGTACACAATTTTTTGGATATATTGCCCACAGTCAACGTCATAAAAACCCTCGAATTACGCGACGCTACACGTAAAAGGCAAAACCTCGTACCTGCGGCCGCACGAGTCCACGAGGTACATTGATGAGGTCCTTGTCTGACTCAAGGTCCGTAGATGAACGACGGGAAGGGAAGTAAGGTCGTCGCATTCATATTTCAGCATTTGACCCCAATATGGCGCCGCCAATCCAGCCACCGGGCAGCTGTTCAAATATAGTTTTTTTTCACTAACCACTTCGTACGATACACACCGACATACAACACACATAACTTTGTAATCCCAAAATGGCGGCTCATGCGACAACCTTCCTTCCCCTTCCGTCGTTCATCTACGGACCATGGTCTGATTCAGCTATTCGGTTCTCAACTTAGTTCTTACAAGTAACACTAATTTAAGGAAGTGTCATACGGCGATTTTCCTGAAATTTGGCATACAAGTAGTACATGGAAAATTATTGCACACGTATTTTGTTATATTGGCCCAATCGCCGTTTGAAGGGTAGAATAATCATCCTTATCGAGTCGAAACTGCAAAAAGATGCGACCGCCATATTAGATCCGCCACTTTGAATTCTTAAAAAGGGACTTCAGATTCGTTATCAGCGACCCCAAAAACCCTTAGTTACCTAATTTTGCAACAATTATTTTGTAAAAATAATTCATAAAATATATAGTCGAACCTACCCCCAATATCGATACCCAGCAAACACGGTATATAAATGTTATATACATGTAAGTATTCAAGCATGTTACATGTAACGTATATGTTAGTTGTAATTTCCCAATCATAGATGTAACATTTTTATATAACACATATTACATTGTAGTTATATTGTCATTATATCCCAAGATAGCACTGAATTAATTATCAATACATCAATGTGCTATTTGGTATATAATTACAATATATAACTACAATGTAATGTATGTTATATTAAAAATGTTATATCTATGAGTGGGAAATTACAACTAACGTGGATGTTACATGTAACGTACACGTTATATTACCTGTTATATTCCGTTTTATTATAGCAATGTAACAGTTATATGTATATCGGTGTTTGCTGGGTATCAATATTGGGGATAGGTTCGATTATTTTATGAATTATTTTTACGATATTGTTGCGAAATCAGGTAACTAAGAATTTTTGGGGTCGCTGATAACGAATTTGAAGTCCGTTTTTAAGAATTCAAAATAGTGGATCCAATATGGCGATCGCAATTTTTGCAGTTTCGATAAGGGTGATATACCCTTCAAACGGCGATTGGGCCGATATAACAAAATACGTGACCAATAATTTTCCATGCACTACTTGTACGCTAAGTTTCAGGAAAATCGCCGTATGACACTTCCCTAGTGTTACTTGTTAGCTGAATAGTTCAAACATGAACCATATCACGGAATCGAACCATTTATCGTGCTTTTTACTGAGCGTCACGACGTAGTTTATGTCCACTTTGTCAGGAGGCGCACTAGTACACGCGGCCGCTGAATCCCGGTGGCCGCTCTCAGGTTTCTGGTCAACTCTGGTGTCGTCTTCAGAGAGATTTCTCTTTGGAAGATAGTTTTTTATAGCTAATTAATTGAAAAAACGAAATCATTATTACAATATGGTTCTATTGGAATATGCGAAAAATGTAATTAAAATTTAACTTTGCAAGTTCTATCTAGATAATTTGTGTTGATGAAAGATTTCTCTCATAACTTATCTTTTTATTATTGTTTTCAATATTATATATAACTAAATGTCAAATTTTCTTTTCGTTTTTATTAAGGATTAAATTATAAAATAGATATATGAGAATATAACAATGTTATTATTGTTGGCAGGCATTTTATTATTATTATTTTGCAGGCATTACCAATCGTTCAACGAACCCTTATGCAAAGACATTTCCATGCAAGTGCAGTTTTCAATAAATCACAATCTGGACGCTACAAAATCACGCTTAAACGAGACAGACCACTGACGTATGAAATGGCAAATCCACCTCACTATCTCGCTCATAGGAAAAGCTGGAATGCTTGGAATACATGTACGTGATTTGCAAGAAATATACAGGATTAAAATATCTTAGTATCGCTAGTAAATTAATAACAAGATCAATTTTTTAAAATAGTTGATCAAACTTGCTAAACTTTGTTTATTCAAATATTGTATCATATTACAAAATTAGATCGACAACTTTTGAAAGAAAGTAGATTTCAAAATATATATTTTTTAATACTATTTTTCTCTATGATGATTAGTTTTAATACTACATGATATAAAATAGAAATTAATGACTTAAACAATATCACAGAAGTGAAAAAATTAAATTGTATCTTAATCTTGAACAAAACATGGAAGAAATACATAAAAGTGTTTCATTCTTTTGACAGTAAATGCTAAAAATTACTCCCTTAACTTCAATACAAATGTGACAAACTTAAAAAATCACAAATTCATATCTAATTCTCTCTCGATCTAACTTTTTAATACTCTATATATTATATCAATTTTATTATACACTTCTATATAATATACAATATCTTTTTAGCAAATATAAAGGATGGCAATAGACCATCTGAGACAGCTGTAGAAGATATGTTTATTCGACAATTTATGAGAGGAACGTGGCATAATTTGTTTGCAAGCGAAGTTATTATTAAGCGACAACATAATATTATTAGGATAGCTGGTATTATCACTCGTACTATAGCACCCTATAAAATATATTTCTTAACTGGCTACACTGAAGAACTCTTGAGCTATTGGCTGCAGTGTCCTATTAAAATCGAATTAGTTACAACTGATAGTAAAAAAGATGTGATATTCAAGTATATATAAGTACATAGTATACACATTTGTAAATAAAATAAACTAGATTTTTATTATATTTGCTATATATTTAATATCATAATTAAAAAGTTAGAGCAACATGAAATAAACTTTAACATGGTATGGATTTTTTTAAAGTACATAATTTGTGCAATTAACAGCTACATCTTTTTTTTTATCAATAACTATGTTTTCTTTACACTAATTGATTTCTCTCATTATTTACATACAATATTGAGGTAATAAGAAAAATGAATTTTACGAGATATTTAATAGTTAATGTAGGATTATGTCAAATAAGTGTGCAAAGTATAAAATATTTCCTAAACTTTTCACTCTTTAGTCGTCATACTTTTATAACTTTTTATGTAGAATATTGCGAGGGATCTATTTATACAAATCAAAAAAAATTTAGGTAATTTTGGTGACGACATGAGCTTATCATTTTTGAAAAAAAGAAGGAAGATTTTTTTTATTCTTTGCATATCATCCATTTATTTTGCATTACTTATAATAAATTGTTACATTCGATCATGACTCAAACGCAGCCCATATACAATCATTGCATCTTTATAATAAAAAGAGAAATCATACATTGTACCACAAAAAGTTATCTATAAGTAAAATTAAAGGCTTCAAGAGCAGACTGAGAGCATTCACAAACTATATGCATATATATATATATATATATATATATATATATATATATATATATGTATATATATGTGTGTGTGTGTATGTGTGTGTATGTGTAAAGATAATATAGTATAATAGTTTTACATAATTGCTACTAGACCACACTCTCTCCTTCATTTTATATGCTTTTACAACTCCTACATATTATTCGTTCAGCGTTCAATCAAGATTGTGTGTAGCTCTCTCCTGCTACATTTGTACTTTTTTTCACGTCTCAGTTAATATCATTATTCTATATGGATGTCTGATAAGGAAGAATGCTATTACTTGATGTCTACGCTATATTCATCCTGAGTTATTACTAGGATAAGACTTAATTAATCAAATGTCCTTGTATAAAAATCATATAATCTGCAGTTCATACTAAATATATATTTAAGACGAAATTACTCTTTCAATATATATATGTATATATTATGCTTAGAACTTATATCGACGAAACAAATTAAAAAATTATTTTATAATTATGCATATTTTATATGTATGTATATTATATATATATATATATATATATATATATATATATATATATATATAAAATACATATGTATATATAAATGTGTGTGTATGTTATATATAATATATTATATATATATTATATATATTAATACATATATGTATATTATATATATCTATATCTATATATATATATATATATTTTTTTTTTATATTAATTTCAATCAAAATTATTTTTATATACATATATAAAAAAACATTGCCAATGAAAAATGTATTTTTGCGAGGATCAAGTAATAAATCTTCTGAGATGAAAGATTTTTATAACATTTAAAACAGAGTTTCCTTCTCAAAAGAAAGAGAGCTTACACAAAACCTGATTGAAATTACGGATTTTTATAAGCGCAGAAATGTAATTGATCTTATGATGGACGCAACAATTAGGTTCCAATGTTTACAATTTTTTTTGATTGATCTTTTTATAAAAGTACAGGCTGAAATGTGCTGTGCTTTATCTTATCTTTTTTTTTTCAATATCCTAGTATAACTTAATATTTTTAACTATATGGAAGTCAAAGTTTGACGTTATATCGCAATGTTATATAGAATAATGACTTCAAAATTTTTCAAGTCGCAAATGTAAAATTCCGTAATCGTATTTAATTTTGTTTAAAGTGCATTCGATTAATTTATTCCCTACATTTTTGTTTAATAATGAGAAGTGCCTCATCTATATTCCAATTAATTTTTCAGATATTATTAGAGATTTTAGTATTCCATCAAAAAAGTAAAAAATATTTTTGGTCACAAATAATATCGATATATAAAACAAATATATGATTACTTAAAAAAAAAGTAATGTCTTACAATGGGGCTTGTTTTATACAGAACTCTAAATATATTAAAAGATATAATTAAAGAAAGTAAAATTAATTTAACAAAATTGTATATATTACAATTATCCCAGCTAACTATTTCTGTAGAGGCAAATTTAAGCAACAAATTTTGTTTGTTAAATGGCTGCAGATGAGAAACATTTTGTCATTGTAAACACTGTGAGCATAAATTCAAAAAATATTTTCCAACATCAGTTCGCAAACTATATATACAAAGTGGCAATGAGTAACAAGCAGATCTATCGAAACGTTAAATTGACAACAAAAAGTATATAGATATGTGCCAAAAAAGTTTAAAAGATTATATACGTTTTTTTCAAAATATTTGACTAACAAAAGTATACACATTTACAAGTATATACATTATAATAGATTATTTTTACTCTTTCAATTATTATAAATTATTAAATGTTTTTGTATTTGCTTTTTTCTTTTTTTATTTAATTATTTTTCTTCGATTTGCTGAGTATTTGGCGCAAATCTGTTTTCAGTTTACGGCTGACAAATCTGCTCTCAGTTTGTTGCGTCAATCTGCCGTCGCACTGTTAGTGACAGATTTGCTTTGGCGTTACACCCAACTTGATGTTAGGATATGTTTTCAACTTGATTGCAATTGAGGTGCACTTGATGACACAGTAGGCTTTGAATTTGCAGCCGTATTTGGCAGAAAAATGTTTCCAGATTGTGACAATCCACAAGCAAAATGGTTAGCTGGGATATAAATTGTAATATTAATAATTATAAGGTGTCATATTAGCAAAAGAATTTCTAATATATGTATAATTAATTTAATTTGTGATCGATACATTTATTACGCAAATTATATCAATTTTATGAGATAGATCGATCATTGCATATTATTATTCTATGTCAGATTGCGTGTACAGCGTCTTTTCGTATATATTTATATATATATATATTCTTATATGTATAAGTCGTTATGTGTAATATGCCTACGCAATTGCAAGAATTGCGAGCATCAATCTTCATATGTATTAATCAAAATTATATCAAAAGTATGCTAAACACTCTCCAAGCAACAGAATACAGCGTTCGCATTGTACAAGAGACTTTAAAAAGTTGCTATATTATTCCACATTAATTCAAGTAAATATACTACTTAATAATAAGATTAAAGTAAATACACTACTTAATAATAAGATTAAAAAAAGAAAATTATAAAGAGACTGAACGAGCTACTAAAGGAAAAGATTGGAAGTTAATGTATATATATATTTTTTTAGAGAGAAGTGCATAATGCATTATTATTCGAGATTTCTAAAAAGTTTAAATGTGGTGTTTCTCTTCGCTAACTTGATTTTAAAGCAATTTAGCGATAACGTATGGATAAAGATTACGTTACTTATTTTAATTACGCTACAGAGTTTGATGAATCCTTGATCTTAACTAATTAATTGCTTATTTGTTTTTTTAATATCTCAAATACCGGCAATAATATACTACAATTTAAATCAACGCGTTATATCAAATTCGAAATTGCAGAGTTCATTATTTAGAGCCATGTAGTATATAATACTATATGAAATTACAAAAAAAATTCATTGCAATTCTCCGCTCAAAATGCATCATTCTCGAGAGAAATTGGCACTTTGTAAACTTTTCGTTCTGTAGAAAAATGGAATACAAATATTTTTTAGGATAAAAAATAATACATAAATTATTAGGAGATATTTTTTTACGAATTAAAATTTTATATAGTTTTTGTTATATAAAATTAAAATTTTTTAAAGATATTTATATACCAATTAAAAAGAATAAAGATGTTGAATATTTATTATATAAATATAGTGAATATTTAAAAAATAATTTTTTAATAAAATGTAGGCCAGCAGCCCATCATCGATTCCGTAATAGGAGCATCGCTGTAAAAACATTCTTTTATCGAAAGATATCTGTTAAAGTTAAAAATGATACAAGGATAGTCTGTAGAACTGTCCCAGTTATTGTCAAGCTTAGATAAATATCTTACTTCTCGCGTGACATCTCTTCTATATATATATATATATATATTATTATATCTATATATACCAAAGAAATCAAATGTATTATAAAAAGAATTATTTTAAAGTTGCTAAAACAGAGTATTTTTTTTTAATAATAATTTAAAAAAATTGCAAAAATTGGATACAGATTATTAGGATTTGAAATAATGTAATAAATTGCATTTAATGATATGCATATATATTAAAATTATGGAAATATACAGAGTGATTCAAAATAATTCAGCTGATTACGAATAACTATATTTTTGAAGTTTATGAATACATAATGAAGCTATATATGTATATTTATAAGGTGAACAAAACTCGGACAATTTTTTTATGATTAATGTACCCAAGTAAGAAACTGATGTCATTAAACATCGAAATAACGTCTAATGATGTCATATTATCTGGGTATTATATATTTGTAAACTCCAAAAGTATAAACATATTTTTATAAAAGTGGACAAATAATTTTGAATAAACCCTGTATTTTTTACGATGAGGGGCGTTAATTATATTTCATTATTTTTTTAAAACTAAAGTTAAACCGAATGTGTGCCAAAATCTTTTGCAATGCAATTACAATCATCTTACTCTGAGATATATGTATAGATCTATTTCCTATCTTAATACGCGCGTGCATTATTTCGGTATGGCATCTAGGGCTTTGTTTAGCAGTGTTTCATGTTAGATTGTGACATCACAGACTGAAATTTTTTAAATAAAATTTTTTAATGAAAAGATATTTCAATGAAACACTAAAATACTCAATAGTTTTAGCATACTTTTAAAATAAAACTATTATTAGCCTCATATTACAATTATTTTACAGTTATTGATTTATTATAAAAGAAAAAAGATTTCAGGGTGTTTAAGAGTGTTATTTTAAGTCATAAAAATGCTCTTTCACCGAAATATCTTTTTATATAAGAACCCAGGTAGCAGACTGACGTCACTAAAAAAATGACATCATTTTGACATCGAATGATGTCATTTTGACATTTAATGACATCAGTTTGCTATACTTGGGAACTTTTAGCATGTTTCTCGCCTCTAACGTCACAATTCTAACATGGTCTCGGCGAGGAGTCTTAAGTTCTAAAAAAATTATCGAATATTAAAAAAGAGAAACATAATTTGCTACCCTCGATACGGATATAGGGACAGAAAATGAAATTCAGGATTCATCAAACTTTCGTTACAGTACATGTGCATAATTTCCTTAAAATGTCGCTATATATGCATTGCAGAACAAACGAGAGAACACGTTTAATCTTATTATGAGATAATGCTATAGCATAAAATTTTTCTCCCCATAATCAATTACTAATAACCGTTGCACATTTTTGCAATGACTTTTGCAATGTCAATCGTGCATGATAAAATGATTCTTATTAAACAATTAGCTCTGAGAAAACGGTGATTTTAGAAACACCAGAGTAGCGCAATAATATATATACAGGGTGATTCAGGAGGAAAGGTAAAGATTTTAGTGGGTGATAGTATAGGCAAATGCGAACAAAAAATGTCCTATTAACATGTGTCTTATTTTTATTGGTTACAATAAACCACTCACAGCAGAAAAAAGTCAAAGGCACAAACAAAAGTAGACGCAAATGACTAAGTTCAAAGTTGATTTTCAAAAATGCCACCTCCGACTTCAATACACTTTCTAATTCTTTTGACTGTACTACGTGTAGCTCTTCTGAGGTCATCTTGACGTTCTTTTATGAGAGCAGCAGTATTCATAATTATAAAAATAAGACACATGTTAATAGGACATTTTTTGTTCGCATTTGCCTATACTATCACCCACTAAAATCTTTACCTTTCCTCCTGAATCACCCTGTATATATATATATATATATATATATATATATATATATATATATATATATATATATATATGGTGTATGTATATATATATATATATATATATATATATATGTGTGTGTGTGTGTCCTTAATCAACATCCGGAATTAAATATTCAATTTTATCCACAAATTCAGAATTTATAAACGTTATTAAAATGTGCAATTCAATTGCACTTGTCAGTTATATTTTTTTTTATAAAGAATTAATTTAGTTTGTCAGTTGTTTTCTATGTTATTATGTAGTACTTTAAATTTGAAGTTAGCTAAAAAACCGTTGTTTTGTAAAATCACCGCGTTCACGAATGCGATGTGAATGCTCCTATAATCTTAAAGTTAAAGTATATTATCTGAATCATTAATCTCTCTTCTCGCTTCTTCCATCATCACTCCAAAGCTAATATATATCTGAAATACTATGGCGTTGGCGACTTCTCGCGCTTGAGCCAAAAATGCATGAGAGCACGTGTGCTTTTGTCACTTATTGACTCGCTTCTCGTTGATAAAGCAAAGTTCATCGGTGCCACTGTATGGGTATGTGTGTGTGTATGTGTGTATACGGTTTTTTGTTTTTTTTCTTATTTTAAGGCTCCTGCCTCTTCGCCGACCATGTTAGAATTGTGATGTCACAGACGAGAAAATTCTTAAATGTCACTTGGAAGAAAATAAAAAGATATTTCGACGAAACAGCACTTTTCATTTAAAAATGACACCTAAGAATTTTTAGCGCGCTCTCTCTCGCCTCTTTGACGTCACAATCTGAAATATGTCCGCGGCGAGGATCATGTTGGAATTGTGATGCCGCAGACGAGAAAACACACGTTGAATATTCTTAAATGCCACTTGGAAGAAAATAAAAAGATATTTCGATGAAACAGCACTTTTTATTTAGAAATGACACCTAAGAATTTTCAGTGCGCGCCTCTGACGTCACAATCTGAAACATGTCCACGGCGAGGACCCAGGTAGCTTTAAATAAGATGCTTTGATTTTATTAAACGCGGGGCATCGCACACATCACACACACGAATCGTTATTACATTTATATCTCTAAAACGCAATCCATGTATCCACGTATTTATAAAAGAATCGATCGATACAACGTATACATTCATGTTTTTTTCGTTTTCCCTTTTTTTCTTCGCTAGATATTAGAGATAAAAGACAATTACAGAGCGATCTTTACGGACGAAAGCGATGAAAATACCCATGCGACATCTTGATGAATATTGCTGGTAAAAATTATTTGATTTGTGCGCTATTTGTCTCGCGTCGTGTTTTTTTTTAATTATTTAGAGATTCAATTTTTGCGAAGAGAAATCGCGCCGAGAAAGGATTTCTTTTTTTTTCGTCAAAAGATTCTTACGTTTACCGCGAAAGAAAAACATAGGTACTTTCATGCTAAAAATACATTTTCACACTTGATATACTATTAGTTAAGAGACATTACGAATTGTACTAATTTTTTTTTGCTACGTGATACATCGTAATATTAAAAAGAGGAACGAGTGTTAAAAATGATTATTATCGTGCTCTTTTCGCGTCTTCCTTTCTTCTCTCTGTACGATATAGCACAAATTAAAAGTTTTTCAAATTTTATTATTATGATTATTATCATTAATATATTATATTGAAAACAGAATTTGCCATCTCGCTTTCTCTCGTCATATTTATCATTTTATTCCGACAGTTTTTAAAATTAGGCCCAAAGCAGCCGGCAATTATATCGATATTCTATTACATTACATTATTCGTTTGCCGTGTGAAAAAAAAACATGCTTAATATGAATAATAAGGAATATACAAATATCGAAGAGAGGATGCCACTCTCTTCCACCGAGATAATTAAAACTATAATTACCTACTTTATACAACATTTATTACACACATGTCTTTGATAATAAATTAATCCTTTACTTGGATAATTCAGTTGTTGATGCTCCATTCAATATTAAACCGAAACAATATCCTCAATTTTTGTTGTCCTCAATGTTTTTTTTCCGAATAGAAAATTTACGTTCTTATACATAATCTTATAATGAGATCCATTATTACGCTATAATATTCATAACACATTTATGAATTACATCTTGCTTTGTAAATGTGTTATCGAAATACATATATATGTAATTACAGTGATCATTACACAGAAAAATTTAAATGCTATTGGCTCGATTGTAGTTTCAGAAAAAAATAGAATTTGTACATACAATTGATGCACAATGTCTTTTTTTATATTATAAACAATTTTAAAGAAAAAAAATGATAAAATTACACAAAGTACAATATCCGAGATTACTGTAATATATATATATATATATATATATATATATATATATATATATATATATATATATGCATGGTATTGAGAAAATTAAAATAAATTTTCAACGTTATGTCTTTTCTCTAATGTAAAAAAAATCAAATTACATACTAATTGCAAAATCCTACTGTCATGATATTTACAATGCATATGTATATAAAAAAAATTATATTTATACTTTATTTGAATATATTGACAACTGTGTTGTAAAAGGATGTAACTGAGGATTAAATTATGTATAGCGATATGAAAAAAAATTTTAGCAAATTAGCGTGAAAAATTGTAAATATAGATTGCACATTCTGATTATTCGCATTTGAAGAATCTTAAGTGTCGAAATAATCAACGGATGATAAAGAATTGCAGATCTTTCTCGGAGAATTTCGGAGAAAAATATTTAAATGCAAATAATAATTCTTGCATTATATAATCGTGCGCTTATTTATATACATATATTGTATATTTTACAATATTGTTAAGAAGCTGTCTAATATATTTTTCCTACGATAACTAAAATAGAATTAGAATTAGAATCTATGTTTTGGTAGCTGCGCATATGCATATTATATTGTGTTGCACATTGCAAGATAATTAAAAAAAAAAAAAAACAATCAGACGGAATAGAAATGCAATATGTTATGGAAATTCTCCTTCGAAAAAATTCCCTCGTTTTTCGATGACAACTGAATTAACAAGTAGCGGATTATGTATATAATATACGGAGCACATGTATATTAATATAATCGGAATCAAACGGATACCTAAAAATGTGGGCGAATGTTGAATTGATCTCTCACTTTTTTTATGACGCTATGACAGATGTATGTGTGCGTGTGTGTGTGTGTGTGTGTTTGTGAGTGATGAATATCATTTACGTTATATCGTACTTACAAATACACCCGCTACTACAATATCATCTATATGTTTTCTTGTTTTTCTCTTATATAACATTATCATATTATATCAATATATACGTGGCCAATAAGAACAGATTTGTACTTGCATTGAAATTGTTTTTAAGTCAATCACTCCAATCACTTCGCACAGCCCAGTATAGCATGTATGTTTTCATATGCTTTTTTTTGTTTAAAAATACAATTTTTTTCTTTTTTGTTTCTCTCTCATTGGATGGCAGCATTCTTATCAAAAGGTTGGCTTGGAGAATGTTGTAATGACATTTAGGAAGGGGAGGGAGATGTGTGTGTGTGTCTCACTTTCTCTCTCTCTCTTTCTCTCTCTATCTAGTAAGACGCTCTACTAGTTTTGTGTTTTACTAGTAAATATGTGAATTTGTTCCAATTGTGTTAAAATGTTGATATCACAGAGGCTTCTTGATCGGAATAGTTCGTCGTTTTCTCTTTCATTTACCTTTTTTTTCTTTTTGTAGGAAAATAGGTATCTACACATACATATTATGATGGTAAATAGAGAGATTATTAATAATCTTTAGGCGTGGGAGAGTGAGTTAGCTCTTAAAAATGCAATACACTATACATGGGCCAGCTAAACGCATTACAACACGGCTCCCTTCACCTGGTCATCATTAGAATTGTGTGTTCGTCGGCGTCTCAACGCACCAGCAAGCTCTGCTGTTGGTTGAGAATGTGCGGCAATGTATGGAGTATTTTATATATGTATATATGTATATTAACGCGCTCTATTGTAGTAAGAGTAATAAGTCGACTGCGAATGATATTGCTAGAGCCAGAAGTAAGTAGAGAAGAAGTGATGCAAATTCCTTTTTTTTTCGTTTCCTTCTTATTTCAACTTTCCTTATTGATTTTTCGTCTTCTTATGGTTACTTGGGCCTAGATCGCAGCGGCTGCTACCTGCGTGAGATCAAACCATTGCTTGTTCCTACTGTCGGTGTCATTTCCAACTCCACTAACAGAGGAAAGTGATCTGGAAAAATGTGAAAATGTTATTCCTTTCAGTTTTACTAATGGGGAAGTACGTAAAACTTACCAGATGGGACATGAGGATGAGGACATCCTACCACTTTATGCTCTTTAAACCACTCTGGGCTCAATGGACCTAAGAGGCCCAGCGGCACCATACTTTGCTTCGAATAGAAAATGTAGTCTATTATGCCTTTAAATTCGAATCTGGAAACACGAGAAAAGGCGTGTTATAAAGAAATATTTGAACAATCTTGAAGCTCCTGCACACTTGATTGCCAAGTCCTCATTGACAGTGACAACTTAATTCAAAACGGAGAAAATAAGACTCTCTACATTGTTTTATCGATAAAAGATGTACAATAAAGGACGAAAATAATATAATTAATAAATATGATTTTGTTTATTAATAAATAAGCATAAACAGCAAGCTAAATTTTTCTTGCGACTTACAGCATTATTTTTCGTTTTATTGCAGTGTTTTTATGTTTAAAATAATTACCGTGGTGTTAAAATATATCGAAGACTCTTATTTTAATATAATTTAATGTGAAAGCAAATATTTATTTAATCTCGATACCGGTCAAACAGCTGATTTTCGTCGTTAGTTAGGTTCAATTCAATTCGACATATATGTATTATTATTGAATATCCAAACAAAATTAAATTTTTCGGTATATTTTACAAGTCTGTTCTATCGATTTCAACTGCTATTTTATTAAAAAACTTTTATTTTAACGTAAGTCGCAAGAATTTTCATGGTATATTTTCTCACTTCTGATGTCATCAATCCAAGATGGCCGCGGTGGGTATCTACGAGTTTTAAATCGTGCGCGCACAAAGAAATAAAAAATAGTGTTCTTACGTATAATTGGTATAGGGCATAATGTCCTCGCTATAGGCGGATGCAAGTTTGAAAGAATGCGTGAATTCGTTAGGTTTATCGCAGCCAGAGATCTTTTGTAAACATGATTTATATGCTAGATCCTTAAAATCACGGTGATCGGCCGCCACACGTCCGGATGTAAGAAACTCAATCACACCTGCGGAGCGATTTGTGCTGCTATTAATATTATTTTCATACTAGTGGGATAAAATAGTGTATACATATATATATTGCAATTATTAATATAAATGCAGAAAATTTTTTTAAAAATTAATTTAAATAATTTAAAAAAAATAAACATACCAGAATCAGGTAAGGAATTGAAGTCGCCACAAAGTAGCAGCTGAACGTTGGAAGAGTCAGGCTTATGGCCGGGTCTGAATGACTGGCCAGCTTGGTCCAAAATGGAACGTAATTCATTGCTCAGCATCATTGTCTGTATCAATTTTACATCGCAAAATTCGGGATCCCAATGGATGTGCGCCGTGCAAACTAAAATTGGTTGTTGCACTTGTGCCGGATCTGATGGAACACCTGCAAACAAATAATAATCTGATTAGTTGTACTGCATATTTATATTGTCAAATTAATGCATGGAAAAAAAGAAACATTGTTATTGAATCAATTAAAAGATCATATATAAAATTATAAAAAAATATATATATATATGAATGATAAAAATACATTCTGAACATAAAACTCATTATAATTTTATAAAAAAAGATAGAGGTTATTCTTTAATATTTAATGATTATGATGGTGATATTTAGATAAAGAGATAACACACACAGATTAAGATCATAAACTTTATTTAGAAATTGTATAACAAATGTTAATCTAACGTTTGTTAACACAGTACGCGCTCGTATGCATTATTCTTTTTCTCTTTTAAAATAGTATATTTTCAAAAATATACTTACTAAAATAAGTTCAAATTATTCAAGATGCCGCGAAAACTTAAATAACAAAAATTTAAAAAAATAATTGAATAGTATAACTGTTCCTAATTTTAGCTATCATCTACGAGATGGTTCATCATTATTATAATATAGTGCAACTGTAATGAAAAATATACAATAAAATACACACTGAAATATACAAACAAGTTCGAGATAAGTTTAAGAATTTTTTTAACGTTCTTTTTATGTATTAACTGCTATTAATTTTATAATAAAGTATAACTGTAATGGAAAATATACATAAACAAGTTCAAGATTATTATATTTCCATTACAATTACACTATTATAATAATAAATCGTCTCGTAGACGATACTATTAAATTTTTTATTTTTGTTATTTAAGTTATCGGGCATCTTGAATAATTTGAACTTATCTTATTAAATATATTTTTAAAAATATACTTCTATTTTCATGGAGAATATATAATCTTAAACTTGTTTACAATTATACATTTTTCATTACAGTTGTACTTTATTACAAAATCAATGACAACCTGTACATAAAAAAGAACGTATTTTCTATTCACATATTAAATGTGGATCTAAATCCTATAAATATACATACATCCAATCGACTTTTGACTTTAAAATATGATTATTAACGTAAATACGCCGTAGAGAAGCAAACATGGGTATGCTATGAGAAGCTTCTGGTCCTCTTCTCCCGACATAGTGGAGAAAAGCCTAGAAGCGGACAAGGACGCCCAAGCGACGGCCAGGATCGCGAGAATCAGGCCTACGGGGCCTCGCAACGTGGTAAAGACGCTGATACCCGCCAGAACGACTACGGGTAACAGGCAGTATCCTAAAACGGACGCAACAGACGACAGCGTGATGTTGGCGCTGCTGCTCATCAGGGATTGCAGGATGTACATGAGTATGCAGGAGGTCATGGCTAAGCCGTATACGTAGCCGAAGTGCGCCTTCGAACCGGCCAGGAGGAGAAACGCCGCGAGGACCAGGCAAAACGCCACTGGTCCCGCCAAGTCCGAGTCCTGTAGCAGATAATTCGCATCGTCGATCTGCCCCTTCCTGTGGAAGGGATTTAACACAGCCAGGGTCTTCTGCATTATTCTGTCAGGATCAATACCAAGCTCCTCCAACAGAGGTGGCTCGTCCTCTTCCTCCCCAAAGGTAGTGCCTGAAAGCAAGATACCTTCAAGATCTCTTTTACTCAATAATGGGTAATCCTTGAGCAGATATTCCAATATAATCACATACATGTTAAAGAATTCGTTTAAGCAATAATAAATTTTCATAACTTTTTTACTATATATATATATATATATATAAATTTTCTAGAATTTTTGTTATTCAAGGTAAATATTCACAGTTTTTCCGAATATTTGAATGTTTTTGAATTTTGAAGTCCTCAAAAACATCTCAAAAATTTGAAAAACTTAAATATTCACTTTGAATAACAAGAATAACAAAAATTTTAGATGTTTTTGAATTTTGAAGTATTAAAAACATCTCAAATTTTTATTATTCTTGTTATTCAAGGTCTTATTAGTGATTTTTCGAATCTTTAAGATGTTTTTTAATACTTCAAAATTCAAAAACATCTGAAAAATTCGAAAAAAACCTTGAATAACAAAATTTATGTACATATATATATATATATATATACACAATTCTAGAGAATTTGTTTTTCTAGCTAGCAGAGATAGACTATCAGTTCTACTGAACGACCTCAACGCCCACGGAATCATCATTTCATCCTTGTTTACCTAAAGTAAAACAAAGACAAATAATGCTCACAGACGTTGCGTCAAGTAGACCATAGCCCAAGTAGCAAAGTGACGTCATTAAACGTCAAATTAACGTCATTCGACGTCGAAATGACGTACACTTGGATGCTACCTGGGATGCAATTTTTATTGCGCATCCGAAATATTTTCGAGCGCTTGTTGACTCGAGGTTATCAGCTTGAGGATCGGATAAACAAGAATTGGAATCCATCCTTTTCTTACCTTTCGCATAATCATCCTGGGTGTACAGGTCGCCGCTATAGGGGCTCTGCGTAGGATCGAGGAAGCTCTTGTGTCCGTACGAATAATCGCCGGGCACTTGTTCGCTGAACGTCTGGAATTCGAATTGTTGGTTAGGCTGACCAAAACCGGACGTTTCGAAGTTGTACTGGCCCTGAGGCGGCTGGGTCCAATAAGCGTTTTCCTGGCCGGTGTAGCCTGACATCCCGCCGGCGTTTCACGATCACGATTTCTGTTCTTTACAGATTCTTCGCTTTTTGATTCTCAAGAGTCGGAATGTTAACACATTAGTCGTGGCCGTTGGCAGATGCACTGTACCTCGTCAGTGACAGAGGTTAGATTAGGTTAGATCACTTTTCGCGAGATAACAGCGTTGCAGGCGTTGCAGCGCGTTGCTTTATCGACACTCGGTGTAATCAGTTGCAGAAAATTATGTTTCCTTCGAGGATAATATGATGTTCTTTTTGATACCCTATCTACATCTAAGGATAAACCTACTTGTGGCTTATTTCTTGTCAGTGAGTAGTATAGACGATCAAAAACCATACTGAAGTTGGTTTTCAATCGTACCACAATCGAAAAAAATTACGAAGAATTGAAAAGAATGAAGAAGCACATCAACAATCACTTAAATAAATAATTAGGATTACTTTACTCATGCCTTATCTACACCTAAGAATATTCTTACTTGTGGCTTATTTCAGTGAGTAGTACAGACGATCAAAAACCATACTGAAGTTGGTTTTCAATCGTACCACAATCGAAAAAAATTACGATTGAAAACCAACTTCAGTATATGGTTTTTGATCGTCTGTATTGCTCACTGAAATAAGCCACAAGTAAGAATATTCTTAGGTGTAGATAGAGCATGAGTAATCCTAATTATTTATTTAAGTGATTGTTGATGTGTTTCTTCATTTATTCTTTTCAATTCTTTTACTTGTAGAATCAATCTTTGCAACGTGTATTCTTGTATTTATTTTTAAAAAATTTTTCTTTATTCTTTATATTGAATATTGTTACTAATATATATATATATATATATATATATATATATATATATATATATATATTAATAACAATATTCAATATAAAGAAACATTTTTTATATGTATACACACAAGGTATCCCATTTTAAATGATCCACGCAATATCTCGAAAAATATTAGAGATCTGAAAAAATGTATTCAACAAAAGTTGTTTGACGTCGAGGGGGACATAAGGTGGTGTTATTGATTTAATCTTGGATAGTGCGTATTATTTAAAATGGGACACCCTGTATATATATATATATATATATATATATATATATATATATATATTATATACGTACAATCATTTTAAATCAAATTCGATAATCAATTGTAATTCGAGAAATATTTTTCCATCAAAAATAAATTTTTATATATTATTCTTCTCGAATAATACTGATTATTTAAGTGAGATTGTTATCATAAAATCGGTTTTCAATAAAATTTATTCTTCTGTGATCTTTGTGTTCTTGTTTCTTCTTCCTTGTAGAAATTTATCATTAGTAACGCCAATTAATTACTTATTTTGAGTACTTAAAATACTGATATAGTAATTTAAGTTCTCGAAATAAGTAATAAATTAGCGTTACTAGTGATAAATTTTCTATAAGGACTATTTTTAAAAAAGTTTAATTTTAAATATATATACATTGTATACACAATAATATATATATATATATATATATATATATATATATATATATATATACACAATAAAATCATTTAAAGTAATAATATAAGCTATACATTTATCAAAAGATATATATACATAAATATATGCCTCTTGCTGCGCAAGTTGGTCGTATCTTATGACTCTGACTCACAATCTCGCTCTTACGGTTCGTTATTAATTGCAAGGGTGATTAAGATGAAAAGGGGCAGCTACGCGATATTCAGTACCAAGTTATCGGTACACAATTAGAACATTCATCAGCATTAAGAGAGTGTAAATCCCGAAACCTCAGCTCGACTTCGGCCTTTAAGATCCTTAAATTAGTGCTGCCGCTGCTAATACTTTTGTTGAGCAATTACGGCAGATTAATGTTGTACTTATTTTCTGTTGTCGAGAAATCCCTTCGTCGTCGGCTGGCAAAGATTCGACTTGGAAATATTATTTACTGCAACAAGCATGCTACACGCAAAATGTTTCCCCAACAAAAAGTTTCTTTTTTTCTTGCAAACCGTCTTGACAATATAAAAATAAATGGAGATGATGAAGAGCTCTTCACTTAACTTTGCAACGTATAATTCCAATTTTTTTCGGATTTTATCGATTCAAATCACTTTGGATATAAACTTTTTAAACGTGGCAGAGTGTTGCAACACGAAGCGTCGAGAGCGTCGTAATTTTATTGGACACTATATAACACGATCCCTCACCGTGTCTGCATGTTGATGATCTCGCGACACTAGTAATTCAGTATATTAATTTAGCATTTACGGTATATTAACTCTCACCTATAACTTAAGTAATTCCCGACACGTGGCAGGAAGTAAAGATGAAGGAGATGCTAATGAATGAAGGAGATGGTCATTCGAAATTAAATTGCTTGAGCGCCTTCCATTATCGGAAATCGACATGTCCTATTAATTTTGCGATCGATTAATCCCATCCCATGGGAGGATCATTCATATGTTCGGAAAAATTACCCCGAAGAGTGATTTATCCTCCAATCAGTGCTATCGTTTGACAGTATGATTGAAACAGGAAGATGTATATGTTTTGTCGAGTTTCAAATATAACAACGTACTTCTATATCGTTAAGAAAATAATTATTTATAACACTGATCGATAAAAATAAACTTTTGTTTAGTTGTCAAGAATGTTTGAACGAGTTTAGGGTGTTTTGGGGATGCAAAAATGATTCTGATGACATATATAAAAGAAAATCGTACAAAAAGTGTTTGCTGTTATCTAAATAAAATTATATATAGATGATTATCTAGATGAAATTTTGGGGTCATCTTATCTTTATATAAATAATAAAAATATAATATGTATTATCTATATCTGCATATCTTAGATGAAAAAAAGTTATCTTTACTAAATTATCTAGAATATAATGTTATATTTACTAAATTATCCAGAATAATGTTCAAATAATTTGATTTAGAGTTATAGCATGAAAAAAGAAATTAAAGTATAAATATATTTTTATATCTCTTTTATAATTTACATTTTTGGCTAACTGTGTTTAACATACATAAGCGATCTTAAAAATAATATTATCTGGAAATTATTTGGAATCGCTATATAATTTTATCTTTTATCTAGACATATTTAAAAGAAAATCATCTTCATCTTATGTAAAATGAATTTACTTATTTTCATCTCATCTTTAACTAGGTAATTTTAGAATCATTTAAGCACAACGCTGCATACAAACAGCATTTTTCTATGCATTAATTGTGATTATCTGAATCAGCTTATTTTGTTTCTATTATTTTACTGAATATAAAACGCTATTATTTCATAAATATACTTTTGTATGATTTGAGACAATTTCCATATAACTTGGAGATAGGTTACACCTAACCATTGTATTTGTTAAATTTTTTACGTTTTTTATGGGGTACCTATTATCTTCAAAATTAATGCCAATCTAGGAAAATCAATGCCAGTTCGGAATCAGCGATACAAAGTTACCCTAAAATCGATGTAATACTAATGTATAATGAGGAATAGGCAATAAAATCAGTATAATTATTAACCCTACGACAGAATTATAAATAAATGCTTTTTCTTTGAATTTAAAAAAGAATGCGTGAGAATAAAAATTAATAAAAAATTTTCAAAAAAAAAAAAATATATATATATATATATATGTATATATATAAGATGTCAAATTGAATTCATAAATTCAATACTTTATTTTTAAAGTTACAGTACTTCAGCTATTTAATATAATAACTTTTAATTTAATTGCAATACTTTATAGAAAGTTTTTAATATAACTTTCAAGTTCTTCGAGCAAAAAATTGGCTTTATTGCAAAAATCGCGTCCATCCCTGAGGATTAAACGTCCTTAAGTTCTTCTTCAGTCTTTTCTTTTTCTTTCGAATCCGTGGCGATCTCCTCCGACTCTCTCTCTCTCTCTCTCTCTCTCTTGAGGATTATCGGGCGCAAAAATCGTTATTTAATACCCTCATGTGAGATCCGGGGGGGATCTCTTGTCCTCTCGAACACAATATCGTAAATCCGCCCCGTTTAATTGCGCTCGCGAGAATCCGCTTTTACTATCGAACCTTACAGATTAACCCTACTCAAGCAGCTGTTTCGCCTTGCGTCTTCAATCTCCTACACCACGTTCCTTCGCAGAAACATTCCGCAAGAATCGTTCTACCAGAGAAACTTCGATCCAGTCGATTCCCTCGCACGAGGAAAACATAATCATCACTTTTAAAGTAAATAAAACAAATAAAACAAATTTAAATATATATATATATATATATATATATATATATTTCATTTTTTGCGTATTAAGGAAATGCTGATTAGGTCTGTTTTATCGGCAAATATTATTTTCATTTAACTCTTTATTGGTTATACAGAATGAAAAATCCTTTACTAGAATTAAAGTATTTATAATAACAAATCTGGGCTGTTATATATGTATATTAAAAAAAACAAAAAAGTTAAATAAATTATATATATATATATTTCATTTTTTGCGTATTAAGGTAATGCTGATTAGGTCTGTTTTATCGGCAAATATTATTTTCATTTAACTCTTTATTGGCTATGCAGAATGAAAAATCCTTTACTAGAATTAAAGTATTTATAATAACAAATCTGGGCTGTTATATATGTATATTAAAAAAAAAACAAGAAAGTTAAATAATTACAGTTTTTCTATAGGTCTTTTGCATTAGGTCAACCTAATCTAAACGATAAGAAAACTGTAATTATTTAACTTTCTTGGTTTCTTTATAAAAAGTGGGTATATATATTGTATGTGTATTGTATATAAATACACATATAATAGCCCAGATTTATTATTATGAATACTTTAAAATTCTAGTAAAGGATTTTTCATTCTGTATAGCCAATAAAGAATTAAATAAAAATAATGTTTGTCGATAAAACAGACCTAATCGACATCTCCTTAATTGTATAAGAATAAAATTATTTGCTTATTTGTTTAAATCACGTGCAAAGTAATATATACCATAAGAGCGCAGAAAAAGAGGATAAAGTGATTTAAATGTCCGTAAAAACTTACGGGAAATAAAATATTCCTGTTTGTTAATTCGAAAATTCATTGTCGCAGCACTATTCGTCGCTTTCATACTGCGTAAGGCGGGATTAAGAGAAGTCCGTAAC